CCGAGCTGAACTAGACCAAAGTTTGCTTCTTGATGTTGCTATTTCTTCCTCTTCTCTGATTCTGTACGGCTGAGTATTAATAGTTTTTTTTCTCTGGCAAGAGTTCTCCTGTAATTTTTGAAGATTACTTCATATCCCTGTGTGTACATGTGTACGCCCATGTCCGTTACCGGGTCCGCTTCTGCTTTTGTGTGTGGAGGGTCTACTTGTTAGGCCTTGTTTAGTTTGGTCGAATTCGGCGCTGTTGGATTTGCTATGCGCACGGTAGCGTACTGTAGTATTTTGTTTGTATTTGGTAATAATTGTCCAATCGTTGATTGATTAGGCTCAAAACGTTCGTCTCGCAAAGTACAACCTAATTGTACAATTAGTTTTTGATTTCGTCTACATTTAGTACTCCATGCATGTACCATAAATTTGATGTGACGGGAAATCTTCTTTTTGCATAGTGTCAAAGTTGGGAGTTGGGAGCAACTAAACAAGGCTCGTTACTGACTCGCCATGCTCTTTTGCAGGGTTTTTTCATTGTGGCGTGACCTGTCCCGACCTAAAAGTGTGTTACCTCCATCCTGAACGTAACTATGGGTTGTGTGTCACGAAAAATTGTTTATCTTTATCAAAATTTTAGTGAATAATATTCACTGTTATGTCTTTAAATTAATTTATTATGAAAATACATTATGTAATTAATTTGATGGTATTTATTTGGTATCATAAATATGGATACTTTTTTATTTAGAATTGGTCAAATTTAAGGGACTAAAACATGATACTATACTAGAATTGCATTGTTTTGGGGACGGAGGTAGTATATAAAGAAGGCAAGATGTTCTGCCCTGGGCACAATTTGGTGGCATTTTTTTCATGAAAACATGTTGACTTATTAGCCATCTGTCTGTACAGGTCATAATCGAAGGGTTTAAGAGCCACTGGGAGATCTCAACAGAGCCCTTCAGTCCCAAAGTTAACATAGTTGGTAAACCCCTTCTGTTGTTCCCTCGCTCAATAGGGTGATTAGTTTCACGTCTTTTGCTTCCTAACAGTTGCACAGACAACTTAATGTCACTCATGCAGCAAACCTCCGTCTATATTGGGACTGCAATAGATAAATCCTTACATAATAGTGGGTTAACTGCAAAGCTTTCTTGATGATCCAGACTCGGTGCATCTTCTAGATTCCGTTTTCCTTGCTAAATTGGGTTTGTTGTTTTGTTTTGGAAATTAGTATAGCCACGGCATATGTATGCATGTATTGTATCATTAAACCATGACCTTGAAACAGTTACAGTTAAGTCCATGCAAATCTTCTGTGTGCTTGTTGTTCATTTGCTCTATAGTGATTTTCTAATCTTTCTGCTGAACTCATTGCAAGTACTTGTCGGCATGAAATTTCGTTCTGTGCCGAGGGCACACGAGTGAGCCGGAAGGGTCCGTTCGATGGAGCTGTAGATCCATCTAGTTTCAACGCATGGGTGGTCGATCCTGCGTACTCCTTCCGAGACGTGCCAGTTAATTTGACCCTGCAATTGACAAGGAGAGAAAATTTATCAGTAATTTAGGACGAAACGTGCCGGTATTGCCAGACAGTCCCGAATGTGCGGCTCTGAGGGCCGATATGAAAGGAGATCGACTAAATAGTCGATTCCAGCATATTCATAAGAATAAATCAGTTAAAGCTCATGGGGTTGTGTAAGAAGAATTGGTTGTCGTTCAGGGTGAATATCATTATTTAGACAAATATTAGTCAATGGCGATAAGATGTCAATAATTATTGGTTTATGATAAGCCAATGACTGCAAGTAACCGAATCCATTTTTATATAAAAGAAATAGTTCATCATCATTCAACCATTTAATAAGATAAATCTAATGAACATATTAGATCTCATCTATCGCTATGACCAGTTAGGCATGAGACAGAATCATGCAGCCCGTAGAAACACAATAGACTTGACGACCCTAACTTATTACTAATATCAGTGGGGCATGAGGCAGAATCATGCAGCCGTAATATAATAATAAGATCATGTAGCTAACACATCTTTCAACCTACCTTTACTTCAACGGTCTCGTGACGTGAACTGTTCATGAAAGTACTTGATATTGGCTAAAACAGCCGATTCAGGCATAGCGCACAGTTAAGGTCATGCCTTATCAAGAACAAATCTACCGAATAACGATCCCCACTCCACGGTGCTAACAGTGGGGTGTGAGGCAGAATCACACAAACTATGATAACGGGTCATGGAACGGTTTTCGTTAACCAATAGATCTACTCAAGATCAGACATGTCTTAACCGCACACTATGCACGATCAAGATTGATATAAGACATCCGATAAAACATAACTCATCGTTTAAAGTGCAGATCATATCAATTTAGATTAACAAACGATGGGCTAAACAGGATATAAGGACGATCTAGATCAATCCCAATCGGGCAAAGTGATATTGCTGTAATTAAATAGATAATGAAAGCAATAAGCAATATCGGTAACTTAATGAATCTATCCGAAGGAACGCCACCCTTAGATAGAGCCGATAAATTGACCTTAATCTAGTTCGAGCCGTGGAGGTCGACCGGATCGATGCAGCCGTACTTGAACTAAACAAGAGTCGATAACTAGCTTATACTAGAGTCGCAGTGGAGGTCGACCGGATCGATGCAACCGTACTTGAACTAAACAAGAGTCGATAATTAGCTTATACTAGAATCGCAGTGGAGGTCGACCGGATCGATGCAGCCGTACGAACAGAAGTATAAGCCATGACAGTACTTACAGACAAGCAGCCTGTTCGCTTGCTCGTAAACGATCGTAAATTTCCAGCCAGGAACAGTGTTTTTCTCTCACACCAAACCAGCCAGCAATAAATAATCCACGATACGATACGGCCTCTTGAACAGGCTAAAGCAGTAGAGGTCGACCGGATCGATGCAGCCGTACTCGCTGAAGAACTCTCCGAGATCTACTCTACTCCTACTCTTAAAGGGTGGCCGGAGCAAAAAAAAAAAAAGTAAGAAACTTGTATTTGATTGATTGTGTGTCAGATACAATGACCGGGGGTTAATATTTATACCCTGGGCTAATGACGTACAAACTTGCCTCAAAAGAAATATCTAAACAAAAGAAAATATTAAGATACATGACTCTGGCTTTCCCTTACGTAGAATCCTTGCTGTTGAAGCTTTCTTGACCGACGCGTCTTTGTTCAATCGGCAAGAGTCCTGTGCAGACACACCTTGCATAGTATGTATACGAACATGATGCCGCCGGCCGCATATACATGATACGTGTTCTTGCTTTCCTTCACCGATGATGTGCACTTCGACGTTACAGTCACGTATACGTATATATCTCTTTATTTCTCCCTCTGGCAAATATACACTTTCATGCAAGATCGAATTGACAATCTCTCTTGGATTTGCTTGCCTTGCTTCCGCTCTGTATTCTTTCCTTATCTGATCTGCATGTTGCTGGAGTAAATAACCACGGATTTTTTCTTCCCCTTTTCATCTTGCTTTTCCCTTGCCTGGCCGAACCTGGAAACTCTTCTTCATAATAGCCTGGTAGTCTGTATGTATGCATGTGCTTGAGCATATCTTTGTTGGCCTGCATCTTCATCACGTCGGCAACCAGTATCAAGAAGCTTTCCTTGTATAGCCTTGTATACGTCAATACGTGTATACATGCATCCTTAACAGATTAGTAACTATTAACTACTCCAAAACGTGTATGCCATATACATGTATATAATTGGATCATCTTACTTGCTTGTACCCAGTCATACGTATGCCAATTTCCAATGATAATTAAATCGGTATGCTTTCCTTTTGGATTGCTCCTGGACGATTCGTATTGGAGATAACCCGTATAACATGATACATATGGAGTTCGGCTGGCTTCCTTTAATTTTCTTCACGTGTATGCAAATTAACTCATGCTCCCAGCTGCCTCTTATCCTCACGTCAAGAGATCTTGGACATCATGCTTCTCTCAAAATATTTTAAAAAATATTCCTCGGCCGGTTCGTAAATATACATCAATTAGGAGATCTTTCTTGCATTCGACATCATCGGCCGATCTCTTCATTTGTAAGGAGAGCTTACCAAATTTTGGTATAAACAGTACTATACTTCAACTAGAACTTGAATGCATATTTTTCTGCTCTTAATGAACTGACATTTATTTTATTGTTTGCCACAGTTGGTGCAAATGGATCGGGCAAATCAAATTTCTTTCATGGTAATTTTAAACATGTGGTACTGCTATATTATTATCTTTCTGCTCTTATGCGACAATATTCTCCTAATTTGTTTATGCCTAATACTCCAGCTATACGATTTGTCCTGAGTGACATGTTTCAAAACTTGAGAAGTAAAGATAGGGGTGCCCTTCTCCATGTATGCCTACTCTTTGTTTAAGCAATCTAGATAGTTGGAATAGGTGGCTGGTGTTTGACATAACCTACTAATAACCATTGCCAGGAAGGTGCTGGACAATTGGTTATATCTGCTTTTGCCGAGATAGTGTGTTTGACAATTCAGACAATCGTATTCCAGTAAGTCCTCTGACCTATTCAAATTTTAATTTACTTACTATTCTAATCTATCTTCTAGAGTCTCAGGTTTCATATTTTGTTGAAAAATAGCAACACCTAGATCTCTTATGGTAGGCACTCATATAATTATCAGCTCTGGGTACATTGCTGGTTCATGTATTGGAAACTAACAGCATCGCTCCAGTTCTTAACATATTTCAGCGACACCTGTGTGATGGACTGATGGTTGCCTTTTGCGTTGGCACAATAATGTACATGCTGCATGTTTTCTTGGCTGTGAATGAAAATACACTTTACTGCAGGTTGATAACAGGACAGTTGCTTCAAAGAAGGATGAATACTACTTGGATAAGAAGCATGCCAGGCATGTTATCATATGCCATAAACCAACCCAGCAATGTTATATCTTGTTGCTTGCTCAAGCTTATTTTTTATTCTCACCATGCACAGTAAAACTGAAGTCAAGAATGTGCTAGAGAGTGCTGGTTTCTCTCGTTCTAATCAATACTATGTTGTCCAGCAAGGAAAGGTAACAAGTACTCACCAGTCACCTGTTCATGTCTTCAATCTGTTCAGATGTTACATGGACAAATTTGTCACCTGTAGATTGCATCCCTTACTCTGATGAAAGGTTCTGAACGACTGGATCTTCTCAGAGATATTGATGGTACACGTGTTTACGAGGATAGACGGAAGGACAGCTTGAAAATAGTGACCAAAACAGGTAGTTTGAAACTTTGAATCACCACTATTCTTTATATATCTTATAAAATATCAAACTGACATGTTGAGATGACAATTCCTCTCTTAGGAGCAGCCAACAAAATGAAGCAGATTGATCAAGTTGTCCAATACTTCAAGGAAAGACTGAGAGAACTCGATGAAGAAAAAGAAGAACTAAAGAAGTACCAACAGCTGGACAAACAGAGAAGATAGCTTGTGTATACTATATTGGACCATGAACTTACGCAAGGAATGAATTAGCTTCGGTAAGGTTCTACCATTTATGCTACGCATGTTTACATTTTTGGAAATTATTTTTGTTCTGCCTCAGTTGAATCAGCTTGGCTCAAAAAGGAACGAAGGCCTTGAGATAGAATTTGACGAACAAACCCATGATGATCTCTTGGGTTGTCTCATACCTTGATGGAAAGACCTTAGTTTTCTGGAGAGTGCAGAAGCACTATGTTTTGAAATGCTTGTTTCATCGCCTTTTACAGCTGATGCATCTTTGCTTTTACTCACTCCTTTTGCAAGAGCATACAATTCATTATGTCATACTTGAGTTTAATACCAGTCTCTATAAATAGAGTGAAACATAAATATATACATATCATTTTCTCATCGTTGTTTCTAATAAATATTTGAAAGTTCTTTTCCCGTTGCAACGCACGGTCATGTTTGCTGGTACGGCGTATATGAGGAAAACCATAGTTAATCTTTGTTGTTGAGGACTTTGTCCCTGCAGCGATGACGCCCACCACTACTCCAACGTCAAGGCGTCGTTAGCTGGAACTTGTATGGCACCACTCGTCCAGGACCAGGAGCTCGTGAGTTTGTTGAGATCGAAAAGATCATCTAGGATTAGGTCTAGCGGGTTCTCTTTACTGTGAATGTGATATCGAGAGTAGAGAGACAGAGAGGAATAGAAGAAGAACGTGTCGAACCTGACATCGTAGAGGGAGATGGTCTAGAAGCCGCCATCTCGTTCGTCGGTGAAATCTGTGCACGGGCAGCGACATTCGGGGAAGAGGTCAATGAAGTCGTCGACGTCGGTGGAGCGGGGCGGCGCGGCTGGTGGCTTTCCGTCACTTGCTGCGCCCCTCTCTGATCGGGATTAGGGTTTAGGTTTCGGTGGGAAGCTCGGCTCACGGTAAACCTCGTCCTCAGAGCCGCCGACCCTCACCTCTATATATAGCGCAGTGTGACAGGGGTCCTCCAGTCATAGTGGGCTGGACGCCCCCGATCAGGGCGCGGATCAAAGGCCCAACTGGGCCGTTGGGCCCAGTTTGGGATTAGAGATCAATCTAACAATCTCCCCCTTGATCTCCTACCATCTTTCAATTTCATATCATTTACTTTTGTTCATTCCATTATAGATTAGCGCATAGAGCATGTTTCATCGTCACGGTCAATTGCCGATAGATTTAACAACTACAACACACCACTCTGTTCTGAAATAGATACTTAACTTTGGACCTTCTTTTGTCCAAGAATTATAGGCTTTCCCTTAAACCCATGCCGGCTACATGTTCTCTGAATACGTTGGGTGGTAAGCCTTTTATAAGCGGATCCGCGAGCATCTTTTTGGTACTTATATGCTCAAGACTTATGACATGATCCCGGACTTTATCTTTCACAACATAATACTTTATGTTAATGTGTTTGGCAGCACCACTTGACTTATTATTGTGAGCATACTGTACTATCGGATTATTATCGCAGTATAACTTAAGTGATCTATAGATGTCGTCAACCACCTTCAAACCGGGTATGAACTTCTTTAGCCAGTTCACCTGCCCCGTTGCCTCATAACACGTTACAAACTCGGCATACATTGTGGATGATGTAGTGACGGTTTGCTTTGAGCTTTTCCATGAAATAGCTCCCCCTGCGACAGTAAATACATATCCAGACGTGGATTTTCTATCATCTCCCGCATAATCAGAATCTAAATATCCCACTATATAGAGTGAATCTGATCTTCTATACGTCATCATGAGGCTTTTTGTTCCTTGCAAATAACGCAAGACTTTCTTTACTAATTTCTAATGTTATGTTCCAGGATTGCTCTGGAATCTGCCAAGTAACCCGGTAACAAATGCCAAGTCAGGGCGCGTACATACTTTAGCATATTGCAAGCTTCCGACAGCTGAAGCATATGAAACCGTTTTTATTGGATCGATCTCATACTGATTCTTGGGGCATTGAAAATCCCCATAGCTGTCGCCCTTGACTATAGGAGCAAATGAGGGACTATATTTGTGCATATTGAATTTCTTTAAGATCTTTTCTATGTATGCCTTTTGTGACAGTCCTAATAATCCTTTACTTCTATCTCGGTGAATCTTGATCTCCAGAACAAACGAAGCTTCACCAAGATCTTTTATATCAAATTTTGAGGACAAAAACTTCTTTGTCTCCAGTAGTAGACTGACATCACTACTAACAAGTAAGATATCATCTACATACAGGACAAGGAAGATAAACTTCTAATTCTTAAACTTTGCATAGACACAATTGTCCTCTACATTATCTTTAAACCCAAAATTTCTTATTGTCTGATCAAACTTCAAGTACCACTGTCTTGAAGTTTGTTTTAATCCATAAATGGATTTCTTTAGGTGGCATCCCATTTGTTTATTTCCTTCCATGACAAAACCTTTCGGTTATGCCATGTAAACATTTTTCTCTAAGTCCCCGTTAAGAAATGCCGTCTTTACATCCATCTGATGTAATTCTAAATCGTAATGTGCCACTAATGCCATTATGATTCTAAAGGAATCTTTACATGAGACTAGAGAAAATATCTCATTGCAATCAATGTCTTCTCTTTGCGTAAAACCTTTTGCCACAAGTCGCGCTTTATATCTCTCTATATTCCCTTGAGAGTCAAATTTTGTTTTGTAGACCTATTTACAGCCTACTATTTTTGCTCCTTTAGGAATTATTTCCAAGTCCCAAATTTTATTGGCATTCATAGATTTTATTTCATCTTCCATGCCCTCAAACCACTTTGATGAATGATCACTTCTCATGGCTTCTTCAAATAAGGTGGGATCATCCTCCATTTGAAATTTCTCAGTGTTGTATACTTCATAGTCAGCAGGAATAACTGATTTTCTAACTTTTTGAGACCTTCTAGGGGCCTCCACATTTGGCACATCTTCTGTTTGAGGCTGTTGTTGCTCCCCCTCATGTGTGGCAATAGGTTCTACAGGATCCTAAAGAACAGGTTCCTCATCGTCATTCATTGTTGCCACAGGCGGAATAACAACAGGTGCTGGCACCACAGTATCTTACACTGTCGGTGCAACGACAGCAGGTAGTGAGAAAAATGGCTCATGAATCATCGGAGTGGGCGCATACACCCACTTCTCTTCAAGGTCAATTTCTCGAGTTACCATGCTCTCCCTCATCATTTTATCCTCTAGGAAGACAGCGTGTCTCGTTTCCACAAACTTTGTATGTCTGTCTGGACAGTAGAAACGAAAACCTTTTGAAGTTTCTAGGTAGCCAATGAAATGACAACTTACTATTTTGGGATCTAGCTTCCCAATGTTTGGGTTAAATACTTTAGCCTCAGCAGGACTCCTCCACACACGTAAGTGGTTTAGTGATGGTACTTTCTGTCCACAACTCATACGGTGTTTTGGGCACCGACTTACTTGGTACTCTATTGAGAATATGAATGGTGGTTTTTAATGCCTCCATCCACAGGCTCAACGGTAAGGTGGAGTAACTTATCATGCTGCGCACCATATCCATCAGGGTACGATTGCGTCTTTCAGCTACTCTATTCCGTTGAGGTTCGTCCGGTGTAGAATACTGGGCTACTATGCCATTCTCCTGTAAGTACCTTGCAAAAGGTCTAGGAACTTAGCCATATGGGGTAAGCCGACCGTAGTACTCCCCCCATGGTCGGACCTGACTATCTTAATCTTTAAATTATGTTGGTTTTCAACTTCTGCCTTAAATATCTTAAATTTATCCAATGCTTCTGTTCTTTCTTTGATTGGATAAATGTAGCCATAACAGGAGTAATTATCTGTGAATGTTATGAACGAATCATAACCATCCACACTCTTTACAGGAAACGGACCACAGATGTCTGTGTGAATAATCTGTAAAATTCCTGCGCTTCATTTGGCATCTTTCTTAATTTTCTTTACATACTTTCCTTTTATGCATTCTCTGCATTGTTCTAAATCTGAGAACTCTAATGGAGGAAGAATACCATTCCTAACTAGTCTATCTATTCTCCCCCTCGAAATATGGCCTAAACGACAGTGCCATAATTTCGACGACGCATCATGAGCTCTCTTTCATTTTCTGTTTACATCCGCAGACAAGGATACATTCTCATTGTCGCACACAACGTTCCCATCATCGCATGCAACATTCACATCATCATGTAGTGATAACAAATAAAGCTTATTTTGTAAGATGGCAAGACCAACACATGCATTATTAAATGTTATCTTACACTTGCTATTTCCAAAATGACAATCATATCCATCATTGTCCAAGCATGAAACACTAATCAAGTTTCTCTGTAAAGAGGGAACATAAAGTACATCTCTAAGTAAAAGTGTGAAGCCATCAACAAGCTCTAGACAAAGATCGCCAACGGCTTCTTTGCGTAGTCCTCGTTGAACAGAATCCCTGTAAGGAATTAGCAACATGAACAGTTGCACCTGAGTCAATCCACCAAGTAGATTTCGAATACTGTATATACAGGGATTCATTTATGAATGTAATAATGTTCTCATATTTCTTTGTCATGATCATCTTTAAGTAATCGGGACAATCTTTATTATAATGTCCTGTCTTCTTACAATAGAGACACTGGTCTTTCTCTACTGTGAACTTGTTCTGCTGAGGCTGATGCAGCATAGGACCCTTTCCCTTTGACTTTGAGGAGGAGTTAGCATTAGTATTCTTTTTCTTGTTGTCTTTCACATAATTGATAGTGCCACCATTGGCAGCTTTCATTCTCTCCTCTTGCACACACATAACCATAAGCCTCTCTAAATCCCATTTCTCAGGCTGTATGTTGTAGTTGACAACAAAAGTGTTAAATTCCTTTAGCAAGGAAGCAAAAATCAGATGGATAAGAAACTCTTCCTTGAGAGCCAGATCCATTGGTTTTAGCTTGGATGCCAAATTGCTCATCCTTAGTATGTGCTCTCTTATGCCACCATTTTCAGAGTACA